GTGTGACAGGGGGCAGTGCCCCAACCCCCCAGTCGGCCCTACCCTGAGCGTGACTGAGGGTGGCATTGCAACCTCCCGATCCGCCCTGCTCTGTGCATGATGGGGGGCGGTGCCCCAACTCCCCAATCGGCCCTGCTCTGAGCCTGACCAGGGGCTGCACTTAGGGATTGGGCCTGCCCTCTGCCACCCGGGAGCAGGCCTAAGCCAGCAGGTCGTTATCTCCCGAGGGGTCCCAGACTGCGAGAGGGCACAGGCCGGGCTGGGGGACCCCCCTCCCCCCGCCCCCCGAGTGCACAAATTTTTGTGCACCGGGCCTCTAGTCTATAATAATAAAAGAGTAATATGCAATTCGACTTAATGGCTGAACAGTGGAATGACCACCAGATGACCTTCCAGATGAAGCCAGGGCTGCAAGGGCCTACTTTTGCACTAATTTCATGCATCAGGCTTATAGTATATCTATCTATCTATCTATCTATCTATCTATCTATAAAGAGCCAGGGTCTGTAACATCCTAAACGACCGAAGGCTCGACTGACCAGAAGTCAGTCCTGCAGTCCAGCACTGACTGCTGCTGGGCACTGAAATCCAGCACTGACTGCTGAGGGGGCTGTGGATCAGGCCCAGAAAGAGGCTGGGAGAGAGAAGCAAGTTCTGATCCATAGCCTCCATGGCAGCTGTTGATCAGCACTTGCCTTTCTCTTTCTCTCCAGGCCTGGCAAGCAGCCATGTCTCTCTTTCTCTAGGGCCTCCACCGGGGCTACTGAGGAGCCCTGCCTCTCTGATCATGCCCATTGATAGACCCAGAGACCCTGACTGTCATAGAAACTGACCAAATCTGGGTGAAGTGTGAGGAGCAATGGCTGCCTAGGAGGTGGAGCTTTTGACGCTGACTGGCATAGAAACCAACCAATCAGAACCTAATCTGGGTGAACTGCAAACGCAGAACCTAAGGTAGGGGCTGAGGAGGGTTTTTAAGGGCAACAGCTGTTTGGTGTAAGGTGTAAGAAAGCGGTTCAATTTTTTAATGACCGGTTTGGTAGTATAGTGCATATGGCTGGCTATCAGTCCAGATAGAGAGATTATGTATTTTTGTCTGCCAAGATCATTGGATGCAGTGGTTTCCATGGAGACTGTCTAACCCTGAGGAAGATTATTGAAGCAAGGCTAAAGATGTACAAGCATTCCAATAACAAGGCCATGACCACGGGGGCAATTGCAGCAACGCTGTCCACAATCCTCTACTCGCAGCGCTTCTTTCCATACTACATTTACAACATCATCGGGGGACTGGACGAAGAAGGGAAGGGGGCCATGTACAGCTTTGACCCAGTGGGCTCCTACCAGAGAGACTCCTTCAAGGCGGGAGGTTCAGCAAGTGCCATGCTGCAGCCCCTGCTGGACAACCAGGTTGGTTTTAAGAACATGCAGAATGTGGAGCATGTCCCTCCATCTTTGGACAGAGCCATGCGGCTCGTGAAAGACATCTTCATTTCTGCTGCCGAGAGGGATGTGCACACCGGGGATGCCCTGCGGATCTGCATCGTGACCAAGGAGGGCATCCGGGAGGAGACGGTGCCCCTGCGGAAGGATTGACCTCTGTGCCACGCGCTGCTTTGTTTATTAAAATAAACCCTGATGTGCTCGTCCTGTTGGAACTTGGCTTCTCTCAGCAGCACAGGTCCGGGGGCTGCATTCCCTTTCCTTTCATTTTCCTCATTCTTCCACACTTTTCTGTCCTGCAGAGCTATTTCTTATTTTAAGGATGAAAAAATAAACAGCTTGTGTCAGTTTTCCTTAAAAAAACTGCAATTCATGAAGTATCCAGAATTCTACAAAGTTTAACCGAAGAATTGGTTAATGTTCTGATCCTCAAGTGTTGAACGTTTTTGTTTGTTTGTTTGTTTGTTTGTTTGTTTGGGGCTGGGTTATGGGGTTTTGTTTGTTGGTTGGTTTGTTTGATTCTTCTATTCCTGAAGCTTACCAGATATGAATGGCTAATATTCCATTGTTCTGCTTATTGTAATGGTGAATGCTTTAAGAAAAAAAAAGTGTAATTTGCTAAGAATGATTCATGATCTGTTTATGCGATAACTCCTTTTTGTTACAATTTTTTTAAAAAAGGCTATTTTTGTTAATGTAAAGTAAATATTTCAGAGCAAATTTTTTAAACTTATTGCACTAAATACAGGCTCTGTACAGAAAAAGAAAAGCCTCAGCATTTTATCATTCCATGGAAGGAGAATCTTTTGAAAGAAAGCATTGTCTCCTACCAGAATTAGACAGTGAATTGGACCGGTATTATGGAAATGCATACAATTAATGTCAGTAGGGATTAATAAGCAACTGTTTGCTAATGTGCTTCCTTTCAAAGGGTTGGACCTTTAAATTGCTGCAAAAGGTAAATTTTATTTTTTCTTTAAGTATCTGTATTCTTTAGCTAGGCTAAAATTTGCTAAAATGCCTTGGTTTCTTTTCAAAGCTCATGTAATATTTCTGATTTTTTCAGAATATTTGCAATAAGAATCAGAAATTTTATTAAAAAAAGAAAACACACAGTTAGGAGCTCATGTCTTGGCAAGATCTGGGAAACCAACATGTGAGAGTCGCTATTTTGAAACAATAATTCTCCAGAAGTTAACATCTAACATTGACAAACTGTATCATTGTACTATTTTATATCAGCAAAAAGGAATAAATATAATTATGTAACTAACAAAAAATTATCCAAATAGGTGAGAGAGCAAATCATCTAACAAAATTCAGAATACCTTCTGTTTCATAGCCACACAGATTTGGGACATTAAGGAACATTGGGAGCTAAATTTATGATTGGCAAAAATCTGGAAGATGGGTATCAAAACAGAAGACATTCGAGGAGCTAGCTGTTTTAGGAGGTGTCCCTCCAGAGTGACCTGATGGAAGGCTTGAATTTGGAAATTAGGTTCTGCTCGCTCGGGCATCCCAACATCACAGACCCTTGCTGCTCCCTGTTCCAAATGCTCGCAAACTCAACTATTTGGAAACCGCCAGGAATGCTTTCTAATTCTCTCTCGAAACTAGAACTGTAATCAGAAAGTAATCTTGTATTTTTGTATAACTCGATTGTGTGCCATTTTATATAACAGGTCCTGTTTTACAAATAAATTCTGTTTTACTAAAAAAATTCTGTTTTTTATCCTCCTGATGAAAAAGGCTTCCCTCCCACCCCCACTTAAGCAATCCTATCTTATATAATCTATCTATACTATTAAAAGGGTAATATGCTAATTAGACCAGGTAGACCGGCCATCTTCCAGATGTTCAACTTCCTTCTGGACAATGCCATGGTGGTGGGGGCCAAGGCAGAGGCCATTAGAGGTGATCAGGCCAGCAGGGGAGGGCAGCTGGGGGCAACCAGGCTGGCAGGAGGGGTCAGTTGGGGGTGAGATCAGGCCGGCAGGGGAGAGCAGTTGAGGGCAACCAGGCTGGCAGGAGAGGGCAGTTGGGGGCGAGATCAGGCTGGCAGGAGAGGGCAGTTGGGGGCGAGATCAGGCTGGCAGGAGAGAGCAGTTGTGAGCAAGATCAGGCCAGCAGGGGAGGGCAGTTAGGGGCGATCAGGCAGGCAGTCAGGTGAGCGGTTAGGAGCCAGCAGTTCCAGATTGTGAGAGAGGTTTTTGATTGGAGAGGGTGCAGGCTGGGCTTAGAGAATGCCCCCCCCCACCTGTGCACAAGTTTTGTGCACCAGGCCACTAGTATCTCTCTATATAAAAGCCTAAGTGACCATCGCAACCGAATGGATGACCGAACAGGCTGCATGGGAAGACCAGGCCCATGGGGGGGGGGCAGTTGGGGATGA